TTTGTCGAATAGACTGGATATATAAATAATGCTGCATAAATTAATAACGATTAATCGAATGTCCGAAAGATCATATCAGCTTTATAGAATTTCATACGTCACACCCATAAATTCGATATAATGTAAAATAATATAAATAATAATTGTAATTACGTCGTCGTCCAGTCATACATTTGCTCAGACAGCGAGTACTCGCTATCGTAGAGGATTACATTTAGTTTTTTCTCCATACGAACGACATTCGCTTGCAATGAATAAAACGAGGGCGACTCGAATGACAATGTATTCAATGTTATTTGCACTCGCAAATACTCTCCTATTATTCGCTAAGTGATTTGCACACGTGAGCGTGAGCGCTTGTCTGCAATTTACAAGAAATACTTTTATTAGGTGAAACAGTACCGTGTACTTAACATAAGATAAAAATCATAAATAATTCGAATGACTTTTTTTTCTTCAATTGCTGCAAATATCATTTAAAGGCGTGGGCGTGCGCGCGCGCGCGCGCGTGTTTTTTTATTATCGATATATATATTTTTTTTTTTCAACAAACGAGCTCGGAAACTCTGCCAAGTGAATATGCATTTAATATATAAATAAAAACGAAATATGTTTTGCTGTCGGAAATTCGCCTCGTTCATAACATTCTCGATTCATATTTTACTACTTTGCAAGTTGAACCCTCATTATAATCATCGCATACATTTATTTCATTTATTCAATTACCCTTACATATGTCGATTTATAATCTTTCGTATTATTTGTAAACTCGCGAATGAGTTGCAATCGTCGTTCCAAAAATCTTTATTCATTATCATATTACCAACCATCGAACATTATAAGATCGCTTAGCTCAGAACCTTAGCTGTGTCAAATGAAAATCGCGGCTAAATTTATCCTCGAGATAACGGCTTAGATAACGGCTCGATAGATTTTCCAAATCGCTTTTCCCTCGATTTTCGTGCCGCGGGCAACGATACTGTGCTCGAAATGCCAAACGAATTTAATCGGGGCCGCGATATTTCTTATTTCATACTATCGCAGCATCGATTTGAGCCTTGATGAGTGATAAAGCATCTTATTAAATTGATTGCTCGCCGAGAGTTTGTTTTATGAGTTTACGCTAATCAAGCTAATGACAATAGCCTACGATCATGTAATGATCAAGCAATTAAGCAAACGAGGCGATTAAATTGTATCTTTTGATTGTGGATTTTTAGCGGATCAATCATTAAATTTACGATCTCATATTTTAAAAGATTATAGGTATTATATGCAATAATTGTTTGGCAATTGCGTAACTTTAGTGTCCTTTAACTTTTACTTTGAAGTCTTTAAAACAAAGTTTTTCACACCTATGAAATCATCGAGCTCCATTGTTATACCTACGGATCCCGTTAAATTGTAATTAGAAATAATTTATACTATTTTTAGCAATATGTTTGCAACGATAATAATAATAATATCCCTAATTTATTAACAATCAAATATTCCGATGACGTTGAAGTTGAGCTTTATGTCACGAAATTCGCAGATTTTAGCCTGCATATTGTATGGTCTTTTATTTAGTTGCAAAAAGTAAATTTCTTTATCAAAATCTTACAATTCACGGATTATGAGATTATGAGATACGATTATTTATTGCAGTAATGTATTTGTGCGATGTGTGTGTATTCTTCGAAGACTATTCGCCGCAGACTCCTTCCAATAAATACCGAGATCAGTAAGTACTTTCGATAAAAAAAAAAAAAAAAAAAAAAAAAAAACAAAAAAAAAGTTCCCAGGTTTTGAAATTGTTTGCAGGTAGATTAATAAGTTCAATGGTTATGTACGTTTGTATCGAAGAATATCATATAGCTTTGGCTGTAATATCAGCATATGTAAGAATTATAACATCTCAACATAATAAGATCATCTCTTTAACTTTCAATATCAACGAAAATACAATCATCATTCACATAATAATTTTTGTTTTAACCTTATAACCTTAATTAAAGACACGCGCCCATTGTAATTGTTGGCTTTGTCGAGAAAGTAAATTTATTAAATAGTTAAAGTAAAACTATATTAATTAGACAATTCCTTATACAAATCGTATTAGACTTTGCGTTGAAAATTGTTGTCCAAATAAGGATTGGGGATAGGCTTCACTTAGGTTGCCTCTCTGCTTTTGACCTGTCGAATCAAAATTTTCTATTGCAACGTTCTAAAAGTATAAACGTCGTTATTAAGTTTTTATTAAATTTACGCCGAGAACGCTAATAACTTCGCTATTTCGTAATTTATATTTATTTATTACGTGTGCCGTTTATGCATTATATATTTCTTATAATCGAATTTAAATTTTAATAATCTTGAAAATTTTATTATCATTTATCATTATTCTTAACCGAGGGTCAATTATTCTTGACATACGCCGGTGTGTCATGACACTATTAATATAAGCGTTCGAATTACGTCAGCATCCTTATAAAATTTTCATATCCATATAATTTTCATCGATCGCTACTGCTCATTGAACAATTATAGGACTTATAAAAATTCATACCGATGCTTGTTAAAATGAACTTAATGCGTCATACATCCAAACATCCAAACCCCCCCCACCCCCACCCCCACCCACCCTCGCCGCCCACACACTCACAATCTTTAAACGTCAATTTAAAATTTATCAATTTAAAACTATCGGAAGCTCGTAGCTTCGACTCTGTAGATTTGATGCCGTCGCGTCCAGGATGACGCGGTATAAATAAAACTCATTCCTTGAGATTTACGTTGATTTAGCTTAAGGGTAGTTTTAAGTTTGACACTGTCGCACACGACTTGCATCGGCCCTTGGGACTAATAATGGCAATTCTAAAGGGTTCCGAATCCGAATTCTTTCAATGGCCCAACAATTCTCCTTAAAGCTGAGACTTTGAACGGCGAAAATAATGCCCGACAAAGGATTGCGCATCTACTTGCTTCCACGAATTCTTCATATACAAGGATAAAAGGATTGCTGATGTTGTGTTAGACATTATGTTATTTATGTAATTCAAGCTTCAGATTTGTTATAAAACACAATATGGATATGAGTTTCTATAATTTATTTACATTTATATTTTGCTTATTATACAATTGTCTCCCAGTCACATCTAGTTATTGGCTTTAGACTTGGAAGTCATTAATATTAATTTCGGATGAATGATCGCTGAGCTTTATATTTCAAAAAAAAAAAAAAAGAAGAGCCTTTCTCAACTCATTGGTCATCTCGTAATATTTCATATCGCTTATAAATATAAACATCGTTATCTTAAATAAAGTTGAATGTAAAATTCGATGTAACATTGGCGTGGTAACGTGTCAATATTGTAAGTGCAATTACCATTGCATTCTAATTGCGATAAATTGTTGATTTTAGAAATTAGGTATGACCGGAGGTATAATTCCTAAGTGGGTTGATGACGTTGAGGCAGATCGATAATATAATCCATTATTTTCCGTTATACGCGGAAAGAGATGGCAAAACAAAAAAAAAAATCAAAAAAAAAAAAAAAACACAGACACACACACACACAAAAAACACAAAACAAAACAAAAAATAGCCAAGAATTTAGAAGTAAATGAGAATGTTTAATTATTTCAAGTCTGACCTAGTTTATTATTTTGGAATTGGAAACTGAATGAAAATTAAAGGCGAAGTAGAAAAATGATAATTAAAGGAAAAAATATTTATCGTCCAGCTAGTAAGTTAGGAATTTAAGGACGAATATTTACGTTAAATATAAATTGAACGAAAGTAGTTGAAATTTACATTTCTAATTTATGTGCATGTTTAAAGGATATATATATATATATATATATATATATATTTTTTTATTATTATTTTTTTATTTTATTAAAATTACACGTTTACGTGGTATCTCTATCGAATGAAATATGCACAGACACAGGTAAACGATAATTGAAATTAGACAGGTTCGCTGCGTACTTTGAAGCTTGAAGCGCAATATTTAAAAAGCTTGATGGATGATATTGAGTAAAAAAAAATACACATTTATTTATTTTTTATTTTTTTAAATCTTTGATATTCGTTCTTTTTTCTTTTCCGATTTTTCATTCTTAAAGATATGTCGAAGATAAAGTTATGCCAATACGTAATGACGAATGAAAATGAAAACGACGGTTTTACCCGTTGAACCACCACCGCGTATACAAATATGAAATAACTGATTAATATTGTCCCGATATACTTTACAATTGTTTACAATAATCATTTAATGGAAAATTGCAAATGAAAGGGACTTAATTATTAAACGATTAAATTTTTTTTACTCGGTTGAAATTCTGTCGTGTATGCATTTACGAGTGCAAAAGCTCTCGGTCGAGCACCCAAAGTGCTTTTTCATGATTGTATTTATTATACTGGAGAGTTACAACGGGGGTGGCGGGTAAAATAGCACTTTATTGATTTGCAATAAGTTTGCAATTACATCTTTGGCTACAATGATTTATTATGATCATCCATTACAATTTACTTACAGCTTACGATAGGTCGATGCGGACATTTCAAATATTATAACAAAAGGTTATTCTATTGCTTTCACGCAATAAAGCTGCTATTAACAAAAGTACTCTATGCATTAATATTATGCATAGAGCTTGATTCGTATAATCGATCGAATTTATTCAAAATTACTTACAACTAAGCAGAATTTTGTTTTTACAAACAAAATTAAACATTCGTGGCGAATTTTGCTTAAAGGTGAAGGAGTTCGATAAGATTATAAAAATTACTTTAACTCTCGGGACTTGTCAATCTTGTTCAAACCTTACGGTTTCTCCATATTAACAGTGTAAAAGAGAGAGAGAGAGAGAGAGAGAGAGAGAGAGAGATAGATAGATAGATAGATAGATAGATAGATAGATAGATAGATAGATAGATAGATAGATAGAGAGAGAGAGAGAGAGAGAGAGAGAGAGAGAGAGAGAGATAAATCGCTTAGTTATTAGCTCGCGATAAAAAAAAAAAATGGTGAAATGGAGTTCCCAAGAAGTCAAAGTCAGTTAAATCACGAGAGTCGAATCGTTAGAAACTGGACGGTCTTCATGCCCCAGGCGGTCCTCGGTCCCGATTGTGGCCTTCCGATCTTCTTGATGCCCAGCCACCATCCGGGATCCGCGTACTTATGCGAGCGGAAGGCGTCGTATTCGCCGATGCTCCATTGCTCCCACTCGGTGTTATCCTTCGACGCCTTCGCCTGGAAACAAGCGACACTCTGGGTTATCCCCTTCTTCCATAGGTACGCGCGAGCCCCCGCCCCTCAAGACCAAAATTCAGATTACCCGACTGATGATAACAAGGCTAATCGATAAACGTACATACCTCTCCGTACAAGTGTCCCGTGCTATTAAAGGCCAAGTAGAGTCCAGTTTCAACGCTCCGCAAGCGGATTATTCTATGAGTTAGCGGGCATACGGCAAGGCGCACTGAAACATTCCCAATTACACGCGAAAATTTTGAATTAAGCGAAACAAGGATTCACCCTCAAGTCGAGCCCCTTACCGTTCTCGTTGTCGATCGTCGTCCTCTCGGACGGCTGGAGCCCCTTGACGCGTCCCGATCTCGTTATCCCGACGAAGTAGCCCGTCCGGCAAAACAGCCTGACTTCGATGCTTTGATCGAGGGCCTCGGCTAGGGGGTAACGCGACAGCCACAGCTGGCACGGCTGGTGGTCACCGTCCACTTGGTCGGATACCGTACGTTGCTCCCTGAAAACACGGATGAAAGATCGAAATGACGTGGCGGTGCTGAACTTTGGCTATAATGATTCCAAGGGGGCGCCGGAGAAGGAGGAGACGCGGAGGCGTTTGGCTTTTAGAATTATCAAGCAAGATTACGTGTAAGATACGTAAAACTCGTTGTCATTAATTGTCATTAACTGGTTGTGTAAAGCTGATGGGGAAAGGTTATCGAGACGTACTTTTGGGCACGTCAAAGCTGCGTTTCAACACGTGCGTCGGAGGGGGGGGGGGGGGGGGTAGAGGCAGAAAATAAGAGGGATACGACGATGGAGGCACGTGGATGCTATGCTATGCTTTTTTTTATGTATATATACTAAACTTAGAAATTACGTTAGATCGCGTTGGAGTACCTCGCGCCTCGACATTTTATATCTACATTACGCGTTTGCGCTATAAATTGAGGCTGGAATTGCAAGTAGTCCGAGGACTGAGTAGCTGGTAATAAGTTTTCATAGAGCAATGTTTATCCTTTATTATTTTGAGATGCATTATTATGCTTCGCGTTTTGACAATATTACCGTAGATGTGGCAAAATTGCAATCGGCCATGAGAAAAGAATTTAAGGTACGAAATGTTAATTGAGAAACGCTTAACCCCTCGGATGTATTGACGATTCGTCCAATTTCGCTTTAAAACTAAAAATCAGTTGGTTATGTCTATAAATGGATAATGGAGATTGTGGGATTTCGATAGAGTGGACAGAAAGTTTAAGAATATTTATACTCGGGGTACGTTAGATGTTTCGAACGCTCTCTTTGCGCGCGTAAAACTTATTGCACGACCGTTACGTAAGCAATTATTGTGGCCTAATAATTTGATAAGATCGAGTCACCATCATTGATTATTCGAGATTGTTGGATTATTTATCGGTATATCGTTTAAGTCCAAGAAGACTTGACGTAGACGAGTGAGTAATGAGAATGGCCAACGAGGTACAAACGTCATCGATGATTTAATTCACAGAAGATAAAGGAAGAGAAGAAAATATTAACCGAGTCTCTGGGATTATTAATTGTAATTATTCGGTGAGCTTGGAAAAAGATTTCTTTAGCTATTCAATGGAATAGCGTTGATAGTTTTGACCAGTGCCTCGTTAACCGAAGCTAAAATTGTTAATTCGTGTCATTTAACAATAACAGGCACACGCTCGTTTATCACATTCTGTATCTCTGTTTTGCCTATTATCTCTCTCTCTCTCTCTCTCTCTCTCTCGCTTGTTTCTTCTGTAAGAATAGCAAATAGAATTGTCGCAACGAATTTAGCAACGATATTGTGAGAAACGGGCGATTTTTGTTACTAAATCGATTCGAATCGAAACGACATTTTCGCCACAATCAATTATTTCCAACGAATTTTCCTTACTTCCACTATCGAGACTTTCGTAAATTCCCTTTAAAGTCCAATTACTTTGTAATCGTTGCTTGTTTAAAATAGAAACGACACCGACATAGCTCATCTATCTTCCTAACTTGTCATTTGCCTTTAGCTTTACACGCCTTCTTCTTGCTTATATTATTTTTACATCCTCGTAACATTACGTAATGGAACGTACGCGAACGGCTAACTACTCTCTATACGACAATTATTAAACTTTATTTTAATCTCCTCTCAGCGTTACTTTATACGCCCTTCCCAAAAGCTTACATAGTGTTGTACTAAAGTCTCCTGTTGCGTCATTTTTATGGAAAATTTCCATTAGGCCTATTTAATCCGATGTCAATTGCCACTCTGGCTACTTTGTTTATTGAATTTATTATAAATATCAACGAACAAATAAGCAATTATACATTTATATATACGAATTATGCTCGTAACGATGACCTATTGCAATATAAAATATCTTTAACTTTACCGTGGTGGCTTAAGACATTATACAAGCAAATGGAATATGTATGTATGTATTCATAGTCTTAATATGCGCAGTAAATACGAAAAAAGAAAGAAAAAACATACGTTCCAAAAGTTTGAGCAATAATTCCCAGAGAAATTTGATCATTGTTGACGATATTTTTTACACAATTTATTAGCACTGTTTGTGGACACGACATGTGACGCAATGTATATTAAATACTCGGCAGAGAATCACTGTGCACTTGTGCATTAAAACGTACTATTATGGATACGTAAATGTATTATTACTCTGGGTAATTACATATTTATTTGTTTTTTTTTTTTTCGATCGCTTGGTTCGTAAACGTTTCAACGTGCGAGTTAGCTTGCTCTAACGAAGGCAAGAGAGGAAAAAGAATTTTCTGCACGTAGCCAGAGAATAATGATGGAAAGAAGACTTGGTTTTAACGAAGTACAATTTTACTCTATTAATTCGAATTAATTAGTTGGGGAAAGAAAAAAAAAAAAAAAAAAAAAAAAAAAAAAAAAAAGATTAATTCGTACCATTACTTGGGCCCATTGCATGACTCATAAAAAATTTTTTTTTTTTTTGTACCTTTATATTTTTATATCATTGATTCTTATCGAGACGAATTATTTAAGTCAATTAAATTATTTATTGCCCAAAATGCAAATATCTATTAATTTATCCTCTTACTTATCATCTTACATTGGAATTATACGTTGCTTTTACGTTTTATTTTTCACATATATCAACGACATAGAGAATGTTTGCTTCTTTTTTTTTTTTTTTTTTTTTTTTTTTTTTTTTTTTTTTGTTTGCTTTCTTTTTTTAGAAAATTTCTTCTCGAAAGTATAAACAGCGGTAAAATTGTAAATACCTTAATTCACAAGACTAAGATATTTATACTTTTTATCTTACCCGATTGATTGTCGTATCGAATGATTTTTAGTCAATTCTTCCAAAATAAAAAAAAAAATCGTTCAAAATCAAGTGTCGATAGTTTATTTTTTTTTTTCGAATGCTCATACGCAATCGTAGCCATTGATTTTTCAAAAATCTACGATCGCCGAAAAGTGTCCTAATTTTTTCTTCGTAAATCGATGCACAAAGTAACTTTTAAACTTTGCGATCAGTCGACCCACAAAATTGCAATATTATCCCATAAAAATTTCAAACTTTTCTCTACTCGTCATTCGCTCATTCGTCACGCACTCGTCCAAATTGTTCGTCAACCGACCCTCGGTTTTTATCACCACTCTCCCCGTCACTCTCTCTCTCTCTCTCTCTCTCTCTCTCTCTCTCTCTCTCTCTCGCTCTCCCCGTCACTCTCCCTCTCCCTCTACCCCTCCCTCTCCCTCTACCCCTCCCACAGGCACGTGATTACGAGAAATACGCGCGGAGTTTATGTCAATCGGAAAATTATCGCTGCCTCAGGGCCGACTCGTATCGTGTCGCTCGCGCTCTCCTCCCCGACTTCAGTCGTCAGGCCCTTTGTGCCCTCCGTGCACAGACCCTCGACGTTCCCGCTCAAGGGAATTAACCGGGATAGATGGCCGGAGTACGCGCGCGGACGTCAGCGCTTTTTTTGTTATTGTTTGCTGATAAATCGGTTACTCCAGTGTCCGATTAAGTGTCGAAGGCTACTCACGAGAGTCCTCGATCCCATCGATATCAGCGACGCTTTATTGCTCTCGACTCCTCGACTCTTCCGTTTCTTTCCCGCCCGATGACCTCACATTATTCCTTAGATTCCTGCCCGCGTTAGATCGCTGCTAGTCGCGTTAGGCGATCGAGTTTACGCTCGACAGCTAAATAATAAGCGTCATATTCCCGTGCATCGGCTTTATGCTCTCAGCAATAATCTTAGCAATCTTATCTAACATATTAACGCGGTTATGCGTACGCGTGTCCAAATACATTGGAGTTATATTTTATTTTCATCCTTGATGTCAATTATTATGACGTATGATCGGTATATAATTGTCGGGTGTTTTATGAAAATTTAATGGACGCGAGGATGTGCGTTATAAATTCGGCTTACCAAGTCCGTCGATGTTTATATTAAGAATTAAAATACTTGCGTAATTGCTGCGACATCGATCATCCCATCTTCCTTTAAAAGATAAATAAAATTTTTAAGCAACAAGCTGTATGGCGTTCGGGTGTAATAATACCATCGGGTGTAATTCCTATTAAATGTAACGGTAATATCCAGTCCCCTGAAATAGCGCAAAAATCAGCAGGGTGAGTATAATGGAAATTTAATGGCGAGGATGATCGGTTAAAGCCAAGGATGAGGAAAAGTGACGTTTAATAACGTATTGTTATACAATTATAAGCTCGATTATCCTGAGATAAATAAGCAGCAGCCATTAACGGCGATGCGATACTATTTAAATACTATGCCGATGCACAGGTATAGATAGGTAGGTATGAGCCTACACTATTTATTACATTACATCCTCTCGGTGGTAGATATTTTTTCCTTTCACACGAATATCGTCAAGATTTTATGACAATAATAATAGATAGGACTCGGATATTTTTATCTCCATTATTATTTCATGTATTATGTGAGTGGGGCTAGTTATTGTAGTAACGAACGAGCGAGGCGCTCCGGCGTTATTTTAGACGCAAGGTAAACGCATCGCCAATTCCTCCACGATATTAGCATGTCCGAGATAATTCATGATAATACAAGAAAATTCACAAATTAGCCAATGAAAAAAGCTGGGCGAGCCAATGGGCGGAGAGTTAATTAGGTTACCCGAATCGGTCGACGATCACTGAGTTGTCTGGGTATTTGCTCCTGCTGTCGCAGCCGCTGCCGCTACTGTTGCTGCTGCTGATGTTGTTGTTGTTGTTGTTGGCGTTGGCGTTGTTGTTGTTGTTGTTGGCGTTGGCGTTGTTGTTGTTGTTGTTGGCGTTGGCGTTGTTGTTGTTGTTGTTGGCGTTGGCGTTGTTGTTGTTGTTGTTGGCGTTGGCGTTGTTGTTGTTGTTGTTGGCGTTGGCGTTGTTGTTGTTGTTGTTGGCGTTGGCGTTGTTGTTGTTGTTGTTGGCGTTGGCGTTGTTGTTGTTGTTGTTGGCGTTGGCGTTGTTGTTGTTGTTGTTGGCGTTGGCGTTGTTGTTGTTGTTGTTGGCGTTGGCGTTGTTGTTGTTGTTGTTGGCGTTGGCGTTGTTGTTGTTGTTGTTGGCGTTGGCGTTGTTGTTGTTGTTGTTGGCGTTGGCGTTGTTGTTGTTGTTGTTGGCGTTGGCGTTGTTGTTGTTGTTGTTGGCGTTGGCGTTGTTGTTGTTGTTGTTGGCGTTGGCGTTGTTGTTGTTGTTGTTGGCGTTGGCGTTGTTGTTGTTGTTGTTGGCGTTGGCGTTGTTGTTGTTGTTGTTGGCGTTGGCGTTGTTGTTGTTGTTGTTGGCGTTGGCGTTGGCGTTGGCGTTGTTGGCGTTGGCGTTGGCGTTGGCGTTGTTGGCGTTGTTGGCGTTGTTGGCGTTGTTGGCGTTGATGCTGGCGTTATTATTGTTACTGTAGTTGACGTTGTCGTCGGCGCCGGGGCCAACGCAACCGGATCGCTCGAGGACGACGTCCGAGTCGTAGCTGTCGTCGCTGCCGCTATCGTCGATGTCGCTGGACTCTTCGTCGCAGTTGGGCGGCTCCAGGTTCTCGTGTATCCACCTCAGGCTCATGGTCGCGTATGCGACTGAACGCGAGCCGCCTCACCTCCAGTCGCCGCTACTACGAAATTCAGAGATGGACGGATGGATCACGTGGCGGCGGTGACGGCGGTGGCCGGCGATTCCTGGAAGCCAAGCGCACCCAGTCACTGCCGCGTTATTAAAGCAGTTGGTGGACATATCGTATTTTCATGGTCGGTGGGAATGAGTTATCGATCTGGGTGGGAGAAATGGCGGGAGAGCTTTCACATCTCGTGGAAATTAGCGAGCCTTATGCTTCGCGTGCGCTCAATAAACTAGTTTTCCTTATCGTTGCAAATTATCTTTCGACTTTATAAATATTTATTTTCACATTGTTTTGCTTCTCGATCATTTCTTTTCTCCTACTTTTCTCCTACTTTTCTCCACTTTTCTTTTTCCTTCTATGTATTTCGACAGTGAATATCGGCGGTGGGCTCGAAAAAGCCAATGCTTAACTCTGTCCTTGCTTCGATAAAATTTTATTTATTCTTGCAACACGTACGTACTAACCAATTCAAATGAAAATTAATACATTCGTAATGTTGGTGCATTAATTGATGACTTTCGTTGTATAAAAGAAGAAGAAGAAGAAGAAGAAGAAGAAGAAGAAGAAGAAGAAGAAGAAGAAACACGAGTTCGTAAATAGAACATAAAGTATGTGCTTTGGAATCAAGATAACTCAATAAAATACCAAGACAAGAAGGAAGCTATTTCCTACTTTTTTCAATCTTTTTTTCTCTCTTCTTTCTAGACAAAAATAGTATAAAGTAACAGTATAGACGAGAATGAAGAGAGAGAGAGAGAGAGAGAGAGAGAGAGAGAGAGAGAGAGAGCTTATGTTTATTATAACATTTAAACGTAATGCTACTTGTTTCGTAAGAAACTTCAGGTTTCTTTTATCCTATAGGGCCCACATTAGGTACACTATCCATAATTTGTATTATTAAATTTTTTATTTTATTATCGCACAATAGGAAAATGGATAAAGATTTTATAAAATTTTAAGGAAATTCTCTAGCATTGCCTAGCATTTACCCTCTCACATACCTTGGATACTAAAATAAAATTTTCCTATTATAATCCCAATGCCGACAATTCCAACAAACTCACGCTCCAAAATAAGAATACATCCCCTCGTGGTTTCACCCTTCGCGTCTCAAGATGCGAGTTCGTCAACCTCGCCTAATCACCTATTCACCGGACCGATTATCAAGCAGAATAGCGAGAGAGCCTTTTTAATGTGTACGTGGGCGTGTGTAGGAGAGAACGAGAGCGAAAGTGAGATCGAGAGCGCGACGGGGCCTACGGAGTCGTGAATGCGGGGGAAGTGGAAAAGAAACGGACTCTCAGAAATGACAGTTATAATTGCGGGGGCAGAGACGAGCGATTGCGACGTCTAGCGGTTTCGATTTGCTCTGTTAAGTATTTCGAGTGTAATAATGAGGTGATTGCGCGGGCCCGAGAAGAAAAGCCAATTGGCTGATAGAGCAGCGGTTTCCGAGTGCCGTTGCTTCTTTTTTCTCGGTTCTTTAAAAAAATTGCCTACTTTGCGCTCGAGGAAGTCGTTGGTAACGTGCGAGTGGTTGCATGATTGAGGCGGGTGGTGGTGGTGGGGTGGTGAGGGGGGGAGGGCGAAGGTGCTCTTTAGCGGTCGTCGGTTAAGGTCACGCGCTCCTCTATCCAAGCGATGCTCTTTCTTCGGGGAGTCACCAGAGTTTTTTAATGCTCGTTGTGGCGAAAGCCAGGCGGGCTGCTTCCTCGTTGAAAATGACGATCGACAGGTCGATATTCTATTGTCAATTTCAAATTGTCAATTTCATAACGAGCGGTTGCTCTTGGCTTAGCAGCCTAGCCGTAAGAATTTCGTTAAAATGCAAGATCGTTGCACCGCAGTTCGTGCATTGACCTTGAAAAATTGAAAATTCGCTCGCAAGCACGCAACAAGACTAACCTACGGAAGATCATTCTATTTCGTTATTCGATAAGAAATCTCGCTCTCGCCAATTGGGTCGCTTACGTTTTCATTTGAAATCTACTCGGGACGAAATGTCTCGTGTTATCGTAGGAAAAAAAAAAAGGAAGGCAAAAATTGTTTTCGTAAGTAGCAAAAGTTTCTTAAAACTTTCATCCGAAGATTTAAAAACTCGACGTCTATATTAGCTTATTGTTTCAATTATTTAGGAAACTCGAGCCGCATATTATAGCAACATTGTCACTATTATTAGATGTAAATTTAATCATGACGTGGACAATGTTTTTCTTCCCCTTCGTATAATCGCGAAAAATTTCTTGTATTCCTCTTTCGTAATGTCGTAATTAATGTAATTCTTTAAATTCTCAACTAATAATTGGTAATTAAGTTAATTTTAGCTACAATTACGACGCAACAAATACGTAAAACGGCCGCGTATAGCTGGCTGAGCGGATCGAGGACGCTTATTGCTTTGATTTTCAAAAGTAATTAAAAGCATTTTTAACATCTCAGTTGTAATTGTATAATCTTTAGTAAGTTAAATGACCCTGCATTTATGCGTCTATGCGCAACGCTATTACAATCGGCATTAATTCAACGCAATTATCTACCAATTAATTACGTTTAATTGCATTTTGAGAATAATAATAATAATAAATAAATAAATAAATAAATAAATAAATAAATAAATAAATAAATAATAAATAATAAATAATAAATAATAAATAATAAATAATAAATAATAAATAATAAATAATAAATAATAAATAATAAATAATAAATAATAAATAATAAATAATAAATAATAAATAATAAATAATAAATAATAAATAATAAATAATAAATAATAAATAATAAATAATAAATAATAAATAATAAATAATAAATAATAAATAATAAATAATAAATAATAAATAATAAATAATAAATAATAAATAATAAATAATAAATAATAAATAATAAATAATAAATAATAAATAATAAATAATAAATAATAAATAATAAATAATAAATAATAAATAATAAATAATAAATAATAAATAATAAATAATAAATAATAAATAATAAATAATAAATAATAAATAATAAATAATAAATAATAAATAATAAATAATAAATAATAAATAATAAATAATAAATAATAAATAATAAATAATAAATAATAAATAATAAATAATAAATAATAAATAATAAATAATAAATAATAAATAATAAATAATAAATAATAACAATATGAATAATATTTCCAAGTATACAAACGGCTGATAATATCGTCACTCGAGTAACTTAAATTCTCCATTGACATTGTCAGCGTTCCCGCCTTTTTTTCTTTTACTTTTTCTTTCTTGTTAAATTCTCGTCCCGATAGGGGGGAAAAAAAAATAAAAAAAAAAAAAAAAAAAAAAAAAGAAAAGACTATAAACGAGAATATGAATAAAATTTGCTCGTTTTCAAACTCTGTGACAGACGGTCTCTTTGAAAAAAAGTTTTAAAAACACGAGCACGCACGCACACAAAAATCGCACTCTAGAACATCCAAGACCAAGTGGAAGCTATGGAGGTCGACAATAACAATACCTCGGGAGCACCCGCGGATGATTTAAACTGGCAGTACGTAGCACTTGACGTAGGGAAGGCCGAGTTTTACCCCCGGGAATGGGTAATGTCTTGGGCGCGAACCTCGTTCACGCGAAGGAAAAACCGAATGCGAAGTGACGCGGTCGACGGGAGAAGCGCGACTGCCGTTGCTGGACGCTCGGTTAAAATGGAAAGACGAGCCGGGCGCTTGGAAATTTTCATTTTTGCGTCGAGCCATTTGGCTAATGGCCGCGCAAACCATCCCGCGTATATTCCCGGGAGGCTGCAGCAACGACTACGGACGAGCAACGACGCGGAATTGAGTATCGTGCTCTGGCTGAGTTGTCACCCGTGTCCGAACGTTCCATGATTGAGAAGGGCGGATGGACGGGATTGGTGAAAAGCGTCTTAAGAGGAAATTCTCTCGCTTAATGGCTCGATGTTTATTCTACGCCAAGTGCTTAATGCACGAATTTTAATAATTGGAAATTCAATGGAACATTTGCTTCATTGAAAGAGCAATTCGTCCCGCGTAGGTATTACAAAGGATTACAAAAATTATTACAAGTTGCTGATTAGACAAGAGACGATAAAACCGGCAACGTCCATCGGAAAAATCGATTTTTTCCCCCTTTAACAGACAATTCTACGCCTTTTTTTTTTCTTTATTTTTGTTGTTGTTGTTGTTGTTGTTGTTGTTGTTTTTTTTTTTTTTTTTGGTCCTTGAAATGCCATTATCTTGTACACGTTTTTAGAGGAGCTCGAAAAGCTAAAACGCTCCTCTTCGAAGGTGAATTGTAAAATTATTTGGCCATTAATTCATAATGGCGTTGTTATCCATCAGATTTTGCACTTAAATACGGTGTCTAATGAAATATTTAATAATATTCAACAGTTTTTTTTCTACAGTATTTTATTTCATTTGCGGCAACGTTAAGTTGCCAAGGTGTTCTTAGACTATAATTTATTAAAATTGAACCAAACTGATCGACATGAATTTCATTTGACCAATGCTAAAATTCCGCTAAGAAAAATAAAAACTCAACCAGGCTCGCATCTAAGTCGAAAGCTCATAACAATTTAATAAATGTAAATACTGATATCGATAAGCACTTTTTATCCATACAAATTTCTATTTAATCAAGAAAGATATAGAAATCTATAAATCTTTTATTTTACGGTTATAAGCCATTTCATGCATTTAGAATGTATTCGAAGATTATAGAGGCTAACCTTTCTTCTTCTTCTTCTTCTTCTTCTTCTTCTTCTTATTATTATTATTATTATTATTATTATTATTTGTTGTTGTTGTTGTTGTTATTGTTATTTATTAAGTGTATGCACGGTAACACAGAAAAGCATTGATATCGCTGTAAATTATTCGTCATACTTGCAATATATATATACATGAATACCATATGGGCGCGGCAATACCTCACTGAAGTCTACCGCATAGATTAAAATATAGAATTTTATGGATTTGAGATTACCGCTAAGAGTATAAA